GGTGAACCTTCACTTTAGGAGTAAAGAGAACCTGTCTTGCGCCATGGCAGCAGCACCCGCAATGTTAAACCCAATTTAATACTTTTCAGTCGTTCGGTGATACATTCTGACAAATCTTTAGGAAATTATTAGGGCTGTGCACATTAACAATTGATTTCTCGATTAATCGTTAATCTTTTTGATCGATTACAATTTTTTTGATCAATTACAATTTTTTTTGAATCTTTCTGCACGAGCGCCAGCCAAGGCATTGGCCTATACACATACAGCAGAGCAATGAAGTAATACAATGAACTAGGATCACACTTATCCGGCACGTTATTATTCTGAGTTGCCCCACTCAAGCGGCGGCCATATTGAGTGGGGCACGTGAGAATAATAACGTGCCGGATTAGTGTGATCCTAGTTCATTGTATTACTTCATTGCTGTGCTGTATGTGTATAGGCCAATGGAGTTGGATCTGTATGTGCGTTATAATTAATCGCAATTAATCGATTAATCGATAAAAAAAAGTGATTAATCGAACACGAAAATTTTAATCAGTAACAGCCCTAGAAAGTATGAATAAAATCACGTACCTGCCCCTCCAGGTCGAACGCCAGACAGGCGATACCATGCGTGTGAACATCTTTCAGTATGGAGACGGTCTGTACAGAGTATGAATCCCACACGCAGATGTATGGCTCCTTCCCAACTTGCCCTGTAGCCACCAGCAGACGTTCAGGGTGCAGCGCCAAGCTGGGGGGGGAGGGGGGGGGCAAAAGAAAAGAATAGTGAATGAATATAACTGATTCTTAATGTGGAACTTCAGCTTACACCGTAATATTCCTCAGCAATGCAAAAGGAGACACTTGAACAATACTCTGCTCTGATCCATTTCTCTGATTACATTCACCACCGGGATATCCTCCAACATGACCCTCCATAAGGTAGGAAATACTCTTCTCCTGACCTTCTCTCCACCTTTCTGATTACACCCCCCACTGAGATATCACCCCTCCAACATGACCCTCCATTAGGTAGGAAATACTCTTCTCCTGACCTTCTCTCCACCTTTCCGATTACACCCACCACCGGGATATCACCCCTCCAACATGACCCTCCATAAGGTAGAAAATACTCTGCTCCTGACCTACACTCTACCTTTATGATTACACCCACCACCAGGGTATCACCCTTCCAACATGACCCTCCATAAGGTAAAAGATACTCCACTCCTGACCTTCTCTCCGCCTTTCTGATTACACCCACCACCGGGATATCACCCCTCCAACATACAGCATATCTCTATATCTCTCAGGAGGTTCTTCCAGATGCTCCATGAAGTAGGAAATACTCTGCTCCTGACCTTCTCTCCACCTTTTTGATTACACCCCACCACCAGGATATCAAACCTCCAACATGATCCTCCATAAGGAAGAAGATACTCTGCTCCTGACCTTCTCTCCACCTCTCTAATTACACCCACCAATGGGATATCACACCTCTGTTCCCGCCCTTCTCTATACCTTTCTATTTTAACTAACATAGAAAACCTGATCAGTGAACTCGTGTGAAATGTTTTATGTCGGGTCATCTGAACAAGAAATGTAAATAGGGAAGGATTTTTTTTTTACTTCATAGAGGGACTCAGGTTGGAGAGTCTGCAAAGTTGACAACTTTACCGTGTTGTGATGCTTATGCTAATGAGGAAATATAAAGTAGTTATACACTGCAGAGCAGACACCCATTTGTCTAATTTAGCAGAGGTAGAGATCGTGTCATTAGAGCTTTAGATCCGATATAAGTCTTGATAAAAGTCATGGAGCACTTCTGCTATAGCCGTTGTGGAATTGTCAGAGACCTGCTGCTTCTGCGCATGCGCCAAGCCGGGCTTCCCGTAACGGGCCTGCGCGCATGCACGAGCCAAGGATTGTCCGCGGAAAAACGCGCCAAAAGGCGCACAGGAAGTGACGCTCTCCAGATCATTTCTTCCCTATTTAAACCCGGACTCCACACCTACTCATTGCTGGATTGTCTCTTCAACCGCCCTGACGTCTCCTGATCCTTGTTTCCAGTACCTTTGATTATTGACCCGGATTGACTTTGACCTTGTTTGCCTGCAGCCTGCCTTTGACCTCGGAACGTTTGACCGTTCTTGCTTGCCTATACCCTTGACCTCGGATTGTTTACCGGACTGCCTAAGCCTTATCCCTTTTGTACCTGCTCTGCCTGCTCGGTGTGACCTCGGCCTGTTGACCTCGGATATCAAGATCTACAAAACTCTGCTACAAAACCAGGGATTGGCCGGCACGGTGATACCGCCTCTGGCCCTCCTGCCACTCACTGTCTCTAAGGACTCTGTCCCCAATACCAGAGTCCCTAGGACACGAGCTGCAAGGGAAGCCTCCTCCTACATCCAGTCTCCGCACAGGTACGTGATAGGAATGTATTAAAGAACCAGATTTTGATTTAAGTTTTGAAATGTATGTGGCTGACTGTTTGGTCTTCAGTGCCCTCGCAAAACATTCACCTGGTTTATTCCCCATTTTATAATATTTGCAGGAAACTAAGTTGAATGCACGCTTGGTATCTGACTCAAGAATCATACGAAGCTGTTCCCGTATAGTTACAAGTTCCGTGAGTATATTTGGATCTGTAGTTGTTTTATGAGACAATTCCAATTGCTGAATCTCATACAGGACTGACTGCAATGTCGCCAATCGACATCCATTTGTATTGTTGTGCGCAGGCTTGGATCTGCCCCATGTAGCTGCCCCATATGCCCTCTTCTATCACCTATTCCTTCAATGTCATTATGGTCACCTTCCCAGGACCGGAATAAAGAAGACCAACACATAAGGTTCTGTAGACGGCACAAAGGTTATGTGAACAGATGAACGGACCAATATATGCATCAACATTAGTGCAGATAAATACTCAGATCCCTGTATACCACTGGTGCTTCGCCGTGGGCCTGTGGAACACACACAGCCTTCCAGTGCTGCTTTGGTGGCCAACTCTGCCTTTAAAAAAATAATTTTGTCCTGTATTAAAGGAGAACTATGGGGTTAAGGCTTTTCCCCATAGTTCTCCTTAGGGTAACGGGAGGACACAAACTAGCGTCCTCCCGTCCCCCTAGGCTCAGCTACAGCTCGCGGTATACTGAGACGCCGCAGCTAAAGCGGATCCCGACAATTGTGCCGGGATCCGCCCAGCTGCGTGACTGACAGCTGGCTCTGTCTATCTAGAGGCAGAGCCAGCTGTACCCGCCCCCTCCCCTGTCCGTTACACCAGTCAGCGCTAGCTTCAGTAAGTCTAGGGTGGCCTTTCTCAACCAGGGTGCCACGAAGGCTTCGCCAGGGGTGCCTTCAAATTTTCACACAGGGTCATCCATTTCTATAACGCAGGCAAGCCGGCCACCAAACACATGGTGCTAACCTACGAACTAAGACTGGGATGCCATTAAAGTTCATGTGCGCGTAAAGGCGTTGCAATACTAATGGCAATACAGTGTATATCTGATGTATCTTTCACACATACTTGCACATAAAATACAAATGTTGTATCTTTTGTGAATATTAGTATATTGTTACATTGTTTTCCATGTCTACCTCTTATTGATAGTTGGAAGATTTGAGCTCTTATTTTATCTTATTGCTATAATATATAAACAGTAACATAAAATAAATAACGACACTACACCAAACAGGCCCCAAACCATTGCCCTCTCTCGATGTGTCATCTTCAATCAGTGGTACAGCATGACACAATGCGCCCGTGGCAAAATGTGTA